GGAGAACTGCATTTATCTAATTATGAGTTTAAAATAACTCGTTTCAAAAACTCGTCTTCTTTATACACTCGTCTTTTCCTTTTTGTATTTTCAAAGCCGTTTACGTAAAGGGGCTGTAATTACCTTAGTTTCACATTTTTTTTGAAATTAATGATCTGGCGAAAAAAGTAACCAGGATGACGTTTCACTTTGGCCTATGTCTAGAGGGACAAAGGTAGCAATTATATTCTTGCGGAAGAAGTGACTAGTTCTAGTAACTCCAAGTAAATAAATTTATCCTTTGCATATAGGTCCAAGTGGCCCTCCACATCTCGTAATGGCACAAGATCTTACTGCCACTAGCGTCAAACTGTTGTGGTCACCCCCAGAGGAAAGTCATCGCAACGGAGTTATTACGGTATATAGTTTATGTTACCAGGAGGCCAGCTTGGAAACGAGCTGTACAACTGATGTACAAGTTCCGGGAGAGAAGCTGTCATATGACATTACCAAAGGACTCCGGCCAAATACAGAGTACATGTTCACTGTTGCTGCAGCGACTGTAACGGGTTTGGGCCCCAGAGCAGTACTTTATGAATCCACACTTTCTTCAGGTAACTTTAAAATTTACGCTCAATTAAAGTATACGACCGCGGCCCCAATCGCGTTATGGTACGACACCACTTTGCGATTTCGTCGAAACGAATTTGTGTTCGAACTGAATGTGGGTTGACGTCAGATGATGTTTACCAAGTATTTTTTTAAGAATCAAGAATTGGCCACTGGATAAATCACAGTGTGTATACGTGGCTTTATTATGCCATCAAGGGAAAACAAACAAACAAACAAACAAACAAACAAACAAACAAACAAACAAACAAACAAACAAACAAACAAACAAACAAACAAACAAACAAACAAACAACAAACAAACAAACAAACAAACAGGCAGGCAGGCAGGCAGGCAGGCAGGCAGGCAGGCAGGCAGACAGACAGACAGACAGACAGACAGACAGACAGACAGACAGACAGACAGACAGACAGACAGACAGACAGACAGACAGACAGACAGACAGACAGACAGACAGACAGACAGACAGACAGACAGACAGACAGACAGACAGACAGACAGGCAG